AACATATTTGAGGTCACCCCCAGGAACCATTAAGATTGACACTTAGTTCGTGAAAATCCGATCATTAGAACGAAAGTTATTCAGGGTGATTCGTTTTTTTTTTTGCGGACTGTACATTTTTCCTGACATGAAAACTTTGATCCTTTTATTTTTTATCAGTGAAAATTATTTATTTTTTAATGAAAAAAAATGAGTATAGTTGTAGAATTTTTTAGACGTCTCTTTGTCAAACTTACTGGGATCTATAAAGCCAAATCTGTTTCAAATATATCACCAAGAACAATGCATCTCTACTGTTTTGATTGTGTTTAATCAGTAAATCATCCAGTAACAAAAAATCACTGAAACAATTGGTTTGTAAATGTGTTATTTTACTTTTTAAAATAATTTTTTTTTACCGATTTGTTTTTTAGAGGAAAATTTCTTCTCCCTCAATTATTAAGGGAAGCTGATGTAAATTTAAAATTTTGAACAATATTCTTGTTCTAATTTTGTTCGTCCCGCTTCGCAAATACCATTTTAAAATACTAAAAACTGAATAAATTAAAAGAGAGAATCCTCTCAATCCGCCTTTTATTCAGTTCTTGAATTTGCTATTGTTTTTGTACTTCATCACGATAAAGAAGTGGCATCCCAGAACTAAATATAAATATTGTACATTGCAGGCAAGCAACAAGAAGATGGAAAAGAATTCACCGAACATGACAACTTCGTAGATTATACGGAGCCGCCTTCACTAGAGAGTATAGCAATCGTGTGCACAGCAGTAAGATTGTGGTCAGATCCTGAAAATGTGCATTTTGATACTTTAAATAATCTTCATAGTTTTAGTGAATTAAAGGAAAGAGTGTTAAACAAACTAAAAAGTCTCATCTTGCCAGATTTACTAAAAATCAAAATATCCAATGTTATTGAGCCTATAGGGCTACAATTATGCGAAACTAATTATTATTTACCCGAAATGTACAGTGATTTCCGTGATATTCATAAAATTGGAGGATCTGTTTATTACACAATGGAAGGAGTTATCGATACCGTTAAATCTCTCAAAGAGGTGATTAATAATGAAGACCAAGTTAAAGACATCAGTTCTTTGTATGAGTTAGCTTGTAAGTACTGCTTAGAAGAAAATATTTCATATTTATGGCAGAATATGAGTTCTGAGAAAAAGAAAAAGTTTTATAATGCCTATTACGGCGCATATAGGGATCATATAGTAGATTATTGGACTGCTTATCTTGAAAACGAATTGCAAAGATTTTTAAATAAGATTACGAGTTTTGGCTACGATGTATATGATTCTAATCAGAGTATTTATCAAAATATGACTTCGATGTCCGTGTTTGTTGGTAACATATTTGCTCTCAAATACTTCTGGAAGTTATTAACGGAGCAAGAAAAGAATATCAATATGGAGTACTGGATAAATTTGGTATTAAAGGAACTCAGACATAATATTTCAAATGTTAACAGCAATGTATATCAACAATACAACCCATTTGCAGATATTTTGTTCTTTTTGTTATCTAAAACGAATGATCAACAGAAAAAGTATTGTATTTTTCACACTCATTCTGAGATAATATTAAAAACTTTATTTTTCTGTTGGCCTTGGCAACGATTTTTCCTGCCCACAATCAGGATGATGTTTGATTATCTTAATAAAGATGTTTATGTTGGAATAATGTCTGACATTACCGTGGTAATTAGAAATGGTAGAACCACGGGCGATCTGGTCAGGGAAATCTGGCATCTAAGTCCAATAAGATTAAAAAACTCACTCAGCCTAGATATGGAAGTCTTATTATGGAATTTACTTGAAGTAAATGACACTAAAACAATCGATGTGATAATAAGCAATATTCCACCTGAAGAAAGAAGAGACATTGCCCTGAATATAATAAATTATAATGACTTCAGTCACGTAATTTTATCCGGTAAGGTTACTTTTCTGGACACTTTAATTACAAAGCTTTTACCAATGCATGATGATATCACACGTATGATCAAGATGCGTATATTGGAATATAAGCGTGAAATTTCTTTTTTAATCATCAGCAATGATATTCCAATTGTCGATGCATGGTTAAATTGGATTTTTCCGTCCGAAAATGAAATCAAACATTATAAGAAAGAAATACTTAATCCAATGAAAATTTACATTTCTTTGATTCGATTAAATGATTACGAATGCGTAAACACATTTTTAAAATGGCGTTTTGAGACGGAGGAAGATATCACTTCATTCAAAAAAACTTTCGTTCAAAAAGGTAACTTTCTTCGATGTTTCAATCTGTTGATCGAAATGAGCAATGACTACGAGACTGGATGGGATAGATTTGAAAGATTTATAAATCATAGCTTAACTTGTTCTGAAGAAATTTCCCAGTTCAAGAAATTGTATTTGAAAAGTGTACCTACTTTCTTAAAACGGGGTAATTTGACATTTGCAACACATTACTTAAACTGGTGCTGTAACTCACTGGACGAGGTCAATCGGTACAAAAATAATTTATTGTTCTCTAAAAAGGGAATCGGAATGCTTTTATATCGCTGGCATCATACATTGCATTTCGGCTTGGATAGCTTTCGTAGCAGATTAAAATGGTTCTATCCTCTCTCAACTGAAACTATTGATAAACTCAAGTCGTTAGAAGTTTGCAAATTCATTGGATTCTGTGACAGCTATGCTCCAGAAAGGCAACAAGCCTTCATTTATTTACTGGACTGTTTAGAGTGGAAATCGAATTCAAGAGGTGAAGGCGAAATTCTCGATAGTACTGATGCAAAGATTATAAATCGTATATTGATGGGAAAGGATATTAATGGGGAGGACACCAGTGATTCTTCTTACAACTACGATAGCGATGGAAATAATTTTATTTCATGTGAAGATGATGATATTTATGATTTGTTGTATTATTAGTTGAGATGCAAAATGCATTCTAGATTATATGAATGCTTTCATTAATAGTGTCTTTTATGTATCACTGCATGTTATGAGAGATCTTGCTACCAAGCACGATTGCTTATACGACCATCTTTTCCGTCTTAAAATAGTGGATAATCCTGCCTGCCCCCTCTGCCGCAGTGGTGCGACGATGAATGCTGGACATCTTCTCAACTGTTCAGTTCTCACAAAGAACTGCATCTACTCCCGATACTGGGAGGCCATAGAACTTTTGTTCAATTTAAGTTCTTGAATTAATTTTTGTGTTTGATGTTTTGTTTTTGTATTTTGTATATTTCATCGCCTTCTGTATTTGTATTTTTGTTTTATTTTGATCTTTGTTCGGCGTTAGGATAATGTCCGTATCGCCTGCTGCATTGGAAATAAAAAAATGTTATGAGAGATACATTTTTTGTACAGTAAACGGATAGTCCAATGGGATCTCTAGAAAATGTTACATAAAAAATGAATATCACTTTAGCTTCAAATATTTGTAAAATAATTTAAAACAATTAAAATCTTTAGAAGAGCCTTACTTTCTTGTTTCACACATTCCACTAAAAGTTTTGGTAGCTGTATGATATCGATTTTTCTGTATAATATTTTGATTTTTTTTCAGTACCGCCTTTTCATGCAGTGATTCGGTAAATTTCGATACCTCTCTTTAAACTTTGGAAAAAATTGTGATAATAAAACAATGTATAAACGACAAAATCAGTAAAAGTTGAAAGGCGCACTTGCAATATATTAATTTTTAATTAATATGAAACATTTTTTCGATTACAATAGCCTTGGCAATAATAATTATCTCATATTTTTAAAAAGTATGCTTAACAATGTAAATTATGGGCATTTTTTGCTTTTGGTCATTATGATAGGAAGATTTTGGTCAACGCCGTCATTAGAAAAAAAAACATTAAAAAAATAAAAAAAAGTAATTTATCCAAAATGTTTCAAGCTTTTTTGGAGTGACATAAAGCAATTTCTCGATCTCAATTTTGTTTTCGCACATAGTTAAATACCATATTTTTAAACGAAAAAAAAAATCAAAAATTAATAATTTCAATGCTATTTATCATAAGTGAAGCTTCAGATGTTAAATTTTATTTATGTATCTTCAAACTTACAATTTGTGTCCGTCAATTTTTCGAATAGCCCTTTTAATGGTAATTATGTCGAATGACGTTGATCAATTATTGATATCTTACCTAAATTTAAATTTTTGTTTGTTTGTTTTTTAACCATTATTCTTTGGTTTCTAAAACAGAAATGAACGTTCTATTCCGTTTTAGAGGGGGTGGTTGTGAAACCATTACTGACTCCATCGATACTTATTTAACTGTTATAAAAGTTACTATTTTTAAAGTAGTTGAATTAGGACCTAATATTCTAATTTAAGTACAGGGTAATTGGTTTTATAAGGCAAATCAAGGGTTTAGCACACTGAATATGTTTCATATTTTCAGAGCTTTATTTTAAAAAGAGTATCAGCATTCATACAAAGTTCAACTGAAATTCATCAGTATCCAATGAGAGATCAAAGCAAAATCGGATTGGATAGTAATCCGAAAAAAAGAAGAAAAAAAGCTGCGAAAGCAGTTTCGTGAGTTGGAGAGTGCAGCGAGCAGAGTGTGGATTTCCTTAATTACTTTATAAAATTGCTATTAATTATACCTTGGCCCTATCATTCAAAATTCTGAATTTAATTCCAAAATATGATATATATTATCACAACGATCCTAGTACAAACTGCAATTTTAAATAGAATATTACATACATGATTCACAAACGATGGAACTTGGTAAGATAGAGAGTTAACTAAAAAGATCTTTCCAGATCATAATTAAGCTGTGTGCTTTTAGAACAGATTAATGATGTTAAAATATTTTCCCGATTGGTCCTTTGGCTTGAATTCTCTGGTTGTAGAGATAACTCATTCTGTAAAAATGTTAAGCTTGTCTAATAAACTTTTAACAACTAATTCTTTGACTATTTTATCATTGAAAGTATTTATTTTTTAATGAAAAAAATTTGTCATATATGTAGATTTCTCAGACGTCTCTTCGCCAAATTTACTAGGTTCACTTTGTTAGAAATTGTTTGCACTTTTCATATAAGAGAATAAAAATATTGTGTTTAAACATATTGGTAAAATATATTAACAAATATTTAAATAAAATAATTTTAAAATAAAGCGTTCATAATTTTTACTGGAGAATCTGATCGATAATAATCTGATGAAAATCAGTTTCTATTTACAAATATTGCACTTTAAAGTTCAATGGACGAATGCACTAGTTGGTACTTACTATTACGAAAGTAGACATTACTTATTTATTTCATTCAGTTTAGAAAAATTTAGTTGAGCAAACTCAAAATTTGGGTGATAATAAAATAATAAATTAAGGATTTGCCTTTTAGATATTACTATGAAAATAATTGATACTCTGTCCTTAACAATAATTTAATAATTATTTCTTTTCGATACAGACTTAATACCATTATATTTTTACTTTATGGCGAAATCAATTTAATAAGCTGTTATAACAATTTCAGCAAAATCACAAAGTAAAAGCACATCGAAGTTTTAATTAAAAATTAATTATTATTTTTCTCTTCTAAATTCTTGATTTTTAAGATAAATATAACATATTACCGAAAGCACAAAACCAAAATAATATAAATTTATTTTTCTTTAATGAACTATACCCTCTTCATTAAATATAAATAAAGACAAAACAACTCCAATACAAAGATTTTTCGCTACAACGAATAATTACGATATTCTCATTCAACGTAAGTATACATATAATTATAATATTTTATGAGAATTATCCTTTTATTTAGGATAGGATCTTTGAATTTGAATTCATTCAAATATTTTTGTTTTGTTTCTTCATCGCTTTTTAATCAGAAATTTAAAATATTTCGCATGAATAAGTGTATATGAGTTAGATCTTGTTTGGCATGAATAGTGAAACTACAATTCTCTTAAAAATTCTTAACCAAAATTTATCACTTTAAATTTATCACATCGATTAAGTTCGTACGTATTGCTCGCATTAAAGAAAAAACAATACTTAAATTTCAGTACATATTTTACAGATATTGTCCAGGCTAATTAAATACTCTATTGCGACTTAAGTAGAAAGAAAATTTGGATAGATTTTTATTCTAAAATTACTGAAGGGCAAATATTGGAAAAAGAAAGTGAAATAGTATCAATATGAGAAGGTCACATAACTTGTACGATTATGTTAAATCTTTCATGCAACTTTCTTTTTCTACACAGGTGTGATAAAAAATGATTGAAGTTCAACTCTGTCGGGCAAAAATCAAATTCGAACGAAAATATTCTCTTTTGCGAGTTTCAGCCGAAAAATGTAACAAAATCATGTTTTAAGAAATATTAGTTTAGACTAATATGGTCAATAAATTTCCTGAAGAGTTTCAGCAATTGTCATAAAAGAAACTGTTAATATTGTATTTAAACCAATTTTTAAAATGTCTCAACGTATATTTAAATAAAATAATTTAAAAATATAACACTAATAATTTTGCGTAGAGAATCTGATTGACTTATACGAAAATTAGTTTTTATTTATAAATTACGTATTTTAAAGTTCAATGGACGAACGCACAAGTTAGTGCTTACTATTAGAAAAGTTACAAAAGTAGTCCCAAAAACTGCTCTTTTTTATATTATTTATTTCATTCAGTTTAGAAAAATTTAATTGAACAAACTCAAAATTTGGGTAATGATTAAGTAATAAACATAAGGATTTGCTTTTTAGACATTACCTATGAAAATAATTATTACTCTGTCTTTAACAATCATTTAATAACTATTTCTTTTCAGTGCAGGCTGATTACTATTATTATTAAGAAATTATTTTCTAATGAGCTGTTATAATAATTTGAGCTAAATCACAAAGTACAAGTACATCGAAATTTTTAAGATGATATAACTTATACCTGAAAACACAATACTAAAATGGTTAATTGCTCTATAAACCTCTTTATTAGATTAAAGTAAAGAGAAAGAAAAAAAAATTCACTCTAATAAATTTTTAGTTCACATTTTTAGAGTAATTATTCAAATAATTTGAAAAGAACTACAAACTTGTTTTAATTATCTTTCAACTGAGTATAGAATCTTAGAATTTAGCCTTTCAAAATCTTTCTAAGTTTTTTTTCTTCTTTCCTTTTTAATCAGAAATTTAAAATGTTTTGCATGACTAAATGTATATGCGTTAGCTCTTGTTTGATATGAATAGTGAAACTGCAATTTCCTTAACAATTCTTATCTAAAATTCATCACTTAATTGATTAAGTTTATACGTATTGCTCGTAATCAAGAGAAAACGATACTTAAATTTCAGTATATATTAAACAGAGATTTTCTAGGCTAATTAAAAGTTCTACTGGTTTACTTGCGACTTAAAGCAGAAAAAAAAACTTGAATAGATTTTTATTCTAAAAGTCCGGTAGGGTAAATATTGGAGAGGGAAAGCATCAAGATGAGTAAGTCAACATAACTTGTACGATTACATTTAATCTTTTTAGTAACTTTTTTTTCTTCACAAGTGTGATTAAAAACAAGTTCAAGCTTGCCGGGTGAAAATCAAATTCGAACGAAAATGTTCTCTTTCACGAGTTTCTACCCTAATCTCCATAAGATGTTACAAGCAAAATCATATTTGACGAAATATTCAAAATTACGACTGGGCAAAATATTCCCAAATTTTGGATCATTTCTTTAACAGTTCTTCATTTTGAAATTCAAAACATTAAATAGTCATTATTTTCTAAGTAAATATAAGCTTCATTTTCAGGTCGTCTTTTATTGCTCTGAAATAAAGTTTTATATATTTTGAACGTGTATTTAGGACGTGTGAATCAAGTTTAAATTTTTTTTACACCATAATGATTTGTTATTTGATAATGGTGATGATTATCTTTGCTACGAGGTAGGGCAGCACTGACACTAGTTTCATGCCTGGAAGAAACCCCACCCTTCTGTGCTGATAGAGAAACCATCCACCTCTAACCCCCTCTAAAAAGTTCAAATATCCTATAGCAAATTGTAAACAAAGAAGATATTAATGAAAAATATGAAAAAAATTAAATATATTAATCAATATTAATCTAATATCTGCTGCATTGCGCAACTTTTCTTTGAACTTGTAGTTTTTAGCTGTTTTTTACACGATTTTTGATTTCTCTTATTATTATAATTATTCATATATCCTACATTTTTATTTGTGGCTGAAGACGAATTCTTGGCCATAGATGGCGCCACTGAAAAACAAGAAACGCATCCTCTGCCTTAAATTTGTTCGGTTTCACCAAGCGGCTTGCTAGTGTGACAAGTGACATTAGAAACAACAGCAGCAACATTTTTATTTAAATAACAATTTCTCCGCAAAACAGCTTGTACTAGTAGATTTTTTTTCTTCATTTACATTTGTAATAAAATTATCTACCGTTAGTAATTCTTAAAATTTTATATTTCAGGCTCAGACAGTGCCAAATATGAATCTTGCAATTGTGAGTTTGAAAGAGGAGACGGTTTCGTTGATTTTGTATCGCCTCCGTGTCTAAAGACTATAGCTCTCTTGTCTATATCACGTAGTCTATGGGAAGATTCTTGCATAATGAAAGGAGAAAAAAACAGAAAAAGACTCTTAGAACGAAACTTTCTAAAACTAGAAGAAAAGGTGGTTAAGAAGTTGAAGTTGTTCTGTTCCGAAATTAGTCGGCTGAAGTTACCACGTTCATTAAAGATAGAACTCTTCAACGTTATTTGGTCTATAGGTTTGCAGTTATTGAAATGTTTCAAAAATGAAGATAAGGAATACTGCAATATTTATGAAATATTTTTCTCTGGTGGTTCGGTCTACTGGACAGCTGAAGGTATCTTTGACAAATTTAAATCACTAGATGTACTGATTAATAGCGAAGATAAAGAAAAAGATTTCCTGCATCTGTACCTATTGGCCTGCAAGTATTGTATGGAAGAAAATATTCCAAAATTGTGGGAGAAAATATCTACCAACAAAAAAGAAACATTGGACTATGTCTATCGAAAATATGATCATCACATCATAGCCTATTGGACTGCTTTTCTAAAAACGAATTACCATCTCTACTTAACAAGATAGAGTGTAATGATGTTTGTAAAATATATGTTTCTAACTATAGTATCAACCAAAACATGGTTTCGTTATCCATTTTAATAGGTAATACATTTGCTTTCAAATATTTTTGGCATAAATTGACAGAGCAAGAAAAGAATGAAAGCAAAGAGAAATGGCTGGATCAAGCGATAGAAAGGTGCAATAGATATTACAGGTTTGAAGACTTAAAATGCAATGCATTCTCAGATATTATGTATTTTTTATTATCGAAGTTAATGGATCAACAAAGTCAGATCTTTCGTAAACATTCTGAGATGATACTCTATACTTTATTTTTCGGCTGGCCTTGGCGTCGATATTTTCTCCGAACAATCAATGTAATGTGGGACTATATACCAGAGGATATTTATGTTAAAACAATGTCACACATTTCTCGAGAAATTGAAGCTGGAAGAACCACAGTTCATCTGTTACAAGAATTTTGGCATCGAAGTCCAATAAAATTGAAAAGGCATTTTCTTTCCAGTTCTAAAGGCATCAGATTCACTTTCAGCAAATTGTTTGATGGGGATAAAGTAGAGACAGTTGTCTCTATGATACTTGATGATGCTTCTCTTTCTGAAGAAGCAATTGTGTTTGAGACTTTTGATATCAGAAATATTGCTAGTTTCGTTGAAGGGGATCATTTATTATTCGCGACGAATTTTTTTAATAGGAGTGAAAAATCACCGGACGATGTCTTCAGGATTAAAAACAAACATTTGTTTTTTGAAAAAGGAATTGATACAATTCTTGTCCATCTGAATACCGGAGATTGGAGCTGGAAAAATCTTAAAGGCTT